CGGCGTTTTGCAAAGGACTTCACCGATCTACTTTTGCAGTCGCCTCGGACTGTCCATGTGTTTACTTCCCCCAGCCCGAGGATTCGATATCTAGGTTCCTGTGAAATGCAACTGAGCAGCCAAAGTACTTTGCGAACACGGGGCGGCATAAACACCAAAACTTTTTTGTGGAAGGAAAATGCAATAAGCAAGCTTGCCGTTTTCCGATGCGGTGTGGAGTGAGTGTGTGTCGCGCGTGTCCGCACTGGAGGCATATGCTTGTGTGTGTACATGGGGTGTGTTTTTCGGTACGTAGGGAGAAAATGCTTGCCAACCACCGGAAATCTCCTGGAATTTATTAGAAAATAATGGATTATAAAAAGAAGGCAGGCGAGGAGCGGCTCTCCCCTGGAGTTGCAATCCGATTTGCTGCCGGCTCAGTTTGTTGTGATTCTTTTTGTTGATAGGTGTCTGATGGTATTCTGATAACACCCCCCTCTTTTTTCCCCCCCTCGAGCTTTACAGTTTTAAAAAAAAGGAAACAAAAAACCACCCCAAAATCTCTCCCCATTTTTTTCGCCCCGTCGGGATCGCCGTTTCCATCCATGTGCTTGCGTCTCCCCCGCGTTCCACTTAAACTATTTTAATCCTTGGACCCAAGGAGGAGGCTGATAGGGGGGTGGATAAAAAAAGTTCTTCCAAAATAGTGTGCCCGGGCAGCAGGATGGGGGATTTCGCAGCCCCCGCCGCCGCCGCGAATGGCAGTAGTATTTGCATCAACAGTAGCCTGAACAGCAGCCTCGGCGGGGCCGGGATCGGTGTGAATAATACTCCCAATAGTACTCCCGCTGCTCCGAGTAGCAATCACCCCGCGGCCGGCGGCTGCGGCGGCTCCGGGGCCCCCGGCGGCAGCTCGGCGGCCGTCCCCAAGCACAGCACCGTGGTGGAGCGGCTCCGCCAGCGCATCGAGGGCTGCCGGCGGCACCACGTCAACTGCGAGAACAGGTACCAGCAGGCTCAGGTGGAGCAGCTGGAGCTGGAGCGCCGGGACACGGTGAGCCTCTACCAGCGCACCCTGGAGCAGCGGGCCAAGAAATCCGGCGCCGGCCCCGGCAAGCAGCAGCACCCCAGCAAACCCCAGCAAGATGCGGAGGCTGCCTCGGCGGAGCAGAGGAACCACACGCTGATCATGGTGAGGGCGCACTGGCAGCCGGCTTGGGGCGCGCGTCGGGTCGGGGGGGGGCGCGAGTGGAGCTTCTTACACGGGGGTGTGCGGGTCTGATTTGCACGGTGGGCGAGGTGGGCTGAAGCCGAAGGGTTAACGGCAACTTTTCTGTGGGCAACAGCTGCGGTCGCCGCTACCTGTTAATCTGTCAGGGTTGTCAGAATTGGGGAGGAGGGGGTGAGAGGGGGAGAAGCCAGTCACGACTGCGAGGGGCGGGGGGAGCCTCGAGGAGCGGCGGAGTGAGGTGCTGGAAAAGTTTCCCCCCTCCTTTTCGAAGATGCCGAGCTGAAAGAGTGAACCCCCGAGTTGAATCCTCGCTCCTCCTCTTCACTGCTCCCACCCCACCTCTGGCCGCGCCGCCTCGCCTCCCCAGACCCGTCCCCCTTCGCCCACCCCTCACGGCCCAGCCGCCGGGTGCTGGGAGAAATTGATGCTGTCGCAGGTTCTGGCCTGGCACCGGGCCTCAACCCCTAGGGTGTGGGGGAGAAGGGAGAGCCACTCGCCTCTCCCCAGCTCACCCCCTTTGGGCTGAGAAAGTCTGAGAGTTTTGTGAATGAACTTTGAAGTGGGTGAGAAACGAGCGAGGGTGGCTGCGCGCGCGGGTGCTCGCGGGAGCGCGCGCGGATGCGGGGCGCTGGTGCGCTCGACTGGCTGCTGGAGACCCGGGGCCAGCCCGGCAGGTGGAGAGGCGGGGAGGGTCGCGGGGGAGCGGCC